TCGGAAACCAAACTGTAACAAAATGTGAACAGAATAACTCGATCAGATCTAGCAAATGCCATTGTTATAATAAAAAGATGCCATTACTGCTGATTTCACTGGTCGAATTTAAAAGATTACCGAGCCTTTAGCAACCATTGACACCATTTGCATCAGTACAATGGACTTCAAAAACACTGTCATCTTGGAGGAGCAGCACCGAAATACCCAATAAGTCGGACCAGTCCTTCGCTTCGCATTCTTCTTGACGGGAACATGAGACGCTTTTTCGTTTCCAACCATTCCAGTAGTACGCCGTTCTTCCAGCACCTCCACTGATAGGAATAAGATGGTGTGAAGGTCTTCCAGACTTGCTCTTACTAACGATCGGAAGGTGCACCTTTTATATACAGCAAAACCAGTGCCAGGGGATTATGCCTTCCCATCATATGATGTAATTCAACAATAGCGGTGGCATAGTCTGGCTGCTCTGTAACGAAAGCATAAAAAGACAAAGGTAAATTCAAAGACAGAGAGAAAGAGAAGGAGGACACATACCGGGGGAGGGGGGGACAAACCTAACTTTTTTAAACGAATCACCATGTTTAATCAATCATGGCATTCCCATATAGAACTGGAAAGGTGGTTTGAGCATGTACAGAAGCAGACATTAAGCCCTATTTAGCACTGTGGGGAGCATAGGCATCATCGCAAGCGTTTCTTGTCGAATGAGGGGGACGGCGCATGGGGCTAAAATCACAGTTCCAACATACTTCCAAGCACAGACACTCCTATTGATTCCGACGTGCCATAATCCCTGATACTATTCTCTGCTCTATGCTAATTAGGTTTCCTGCCGATCTTCGATTGAAGTCAGACATGAAATTATAGATACTAATCCTGATATATATTTAAAAAAAGAAATATAAAATATATAGAAATGTGTATAAAAAATGTGAAGAATATGTATATATAAATATTCTTTATAAAATTATATTTAAGAAAAAGGAAGCCTCCTCTATTTGTGTGCTATGGAATGGAAAGCTGAGCGAATGGTGCACCACAGGTTGCGATGGAAAATATTACAGTGAGGTTATGAAGAGGCTGTTGTCATTGTTGCACCAATAGTAAATATTACCACACACACATCTAATTACATACGGCTCTTTGCAGAATAACCCGGGTAGCAAGCCTACCAGACTTCCGACAAATGCATTTTTGCGCTAAATTTGAAGCAATCAGATCGTTAACAGTAATGCTTGTTACTTCAGTGTTTGAAATGTGCACTCCTACTGGCAGTGTTTTGTTCCTTTCCTGGACAAAGGGGAAAAAGAGCGTCAACTGGGGCGAGAATGCGTGAAATCTAAATTACCACCGTGAATTTCGCACAAAAATGTTGTTGACATAATTGAAATTTTAATGCATTTTTGCAAATTATCATGGCGGAGTTAATCATGTGGCAGTACTGTAGTACTAAGGACTACACATACGTCTTCATTTTCATTTCTGTGAATAAAAAATCTAGGCTGCGACACACCAGGTTTGCCGGTACGGGTTTGTTCTTTTGCATTACGCACTCTCAAATTTGCCGTATACGTACGTGAAATTTAAGCACTTATAAAAGCTGATTTTAGCTTTCAGTGGCTTACAAGGTATATCAGCATTATCGTAAAATTTCTGCTTTACTCAATGCCTGAGCATCTACTTCACCCCGAGAGCGAAGGCGGGGGTTTGGGAACTGGGGCGAGGAAGGGAGAGGACTTGAGGTGCGGGGAGGAGGGGAGGGAGCTGGGATGGTGGTGATGGCTAAGGAGAAGGACGGAGTTATTGATTGCCAAAGAGCTGAACTTGGGGAGTAGGAATTGGGGACAGGCACGGGGTTTATGGGCGGAGCCAGGGGACGGGGGGGGCCGAATGGTCCCTCAGTTTGGGAACTTATGCCAGGAGGAAATATTAGCAATCCTGAAAACGCGACACCCAGAACTTTAATTGGATCAAAAAAACCCGACACCACGTTTTCCGCAGCTCGAACCCGGGTCTAGCAGCGAGCGAAGCCGAACTACGTCTTGGTGAACCCTCCCCCCTTCTCCGCCCTCCCCCCTTCCCCGCCCCGCCTCTCCGAAATCCCGCCAACCCCCGGGGCGAATGTGTTACGCGTCGCCGGGCCGGGTCGCTTTTTTACGAGACCCCGGCGAAGATGCATGGCACCTGGCACGGCGCCAAGGACCGCCCCTTCTCCTCACCCGTAGGTTCCCGCGTAATTCGGGTGGGCGTGGCCTCTTCTTCGCGCCAAAATGGCATCATTTTGGTTCGTGTGCACGTGGCGTGCGGCGGCGGCGGTGTCCACTTCGCTGTGTGTTGTGCTGGTCCTTGTTGCATTTCCCTGGCTTATACCGTTGCAAGTCATTTCCGCTTATTAGCGATCGGCTTCTGTAGTTGGCTGTCGTGCGGTATTTTAAGATGGCGCAGTGAAGGGAGGAATGTCAGGTTCGATTGAGTCTTCTTTCTGCCCTGTAATATCTCTCCTCGGTTTGATATGGACTCTGTTCTGACGGTTTTCAATTTTTTTTTACGTCCCCTCCCCTTTTTTATGCCTTTTTTACAGCTATGCAATGCGGAAAACGCATATTGACGAGAGGTTGTTTGTGTGTGCCTGTGTGTGTGTGTGTGCGTGTGTGTGTGTCTGTGTGTGTGTGTTTGTGTGTCTGTATGTCTTGTGTGCACTGCACGTCTGTACCGATTTTTTACCTCGAGACCGGCAAAAGCTACAGGGGTGAAACTTTGAGGAATTAATCTACATGCACGTACGGGCCCCATCCCCAAAATGGGTGGTCTCACCCGCGTGGTACCCACGTAAGAGCTCGCCAAAGTTTTTTACGGGTAGGTTGCTAACTCGCGAACCAGAAAAGCTTGGAAGCTGAAATTTTAATGGGATCTTCTCCATTCAAGTAGGTATTTAATGAGCTCAAACCCAGCCCCCGAGTAAGCGTGGTACCCGCGTACGGGCCCGCCAAAATTTTTTCGGATAATTTCATAACTCTGGGATCTGAGAAGCTAGAATGCTGAAATCTTAGGGGGGATGTTCCCCTGTCAGTAGGTATTAATGAGCTCAAACCCAGCCTCCGTGTCTGCATGATACCCACGTGCCGGGTCCGTGAAAGTTTTTTTCTACTAAATTGCTAACTTAGGAATCAGAAAAGCTAGGAGGCTGAAATTTTAACGGGATATTTCCTGGCAGTTCTGGCGGTCAGTCGTAATTTGTTTGGCTAGAAGCATTTGCCGAAAAAACCGGTGCCGGTAGCGACAAAAACTATGCAAACAAAAACTATGTGAGGAACTATGCAAAAAACGCATCTTCGCACGGGCAGCCCGTACGTTGGCCAATTATTTAAGTGAGTTTTGCGGCCCTGGCCCTCTTTTTAAGTATCTTTTGCCGCCGTTGCTCGGTGAGGCTTAGTTGGAAGACTTAGAGCACTAGAATGCATCAAATATTTCAATTTTTTCGTGAAAGGTCTTCAAATTTGGCGAAATAAGAAAATGGGTTAATCTGTTAATATGTACACATTGTAATTTTAATTTTAGATGATGTGTACTTATGTAAAAAGTAAGGTTTAAAAAGGAATAAAAGAAGGGTGAATAAGATAAGTCGGATTAAAAAACTTGAATAGGAATGTTTCGGTCCTTTAAGTCGCATACATCCTGTTCAGTGCTGCAACTGGACCTCGTAGGATATCTTTATTGCAACGATACCTAGTAGGGTATCTTTATTGCAAGGATTTCGTTTTTTATTGTTACATTGAAATTTGATGGAAATTTAATGCAATTCTCCTCACCTCGTTCCTTGTTCCTTGGTCTTCGCCCCCCTCCCCCCCTACGCGCTTGCGGCCTCTGGGAGGTCCGCAGCCTTCTGAACCACTGCTTTATTCGGATAGCGCATTTTTCGTTGCTTTGGCCTCAGCATCCATTTTCCCGCTTTAATCAAATCCGTCACATTTTGGTCTAGAGCTGTTCCGTTGTGAATGTGATTACCAGTGGATCTGAACTGCTGAAGTTTGCATGGTTTTATACATGTGGGTCTTCTCCCAGTTCTCGAAGTATAGAGCACTGGCGGATCCAGGAAGAGCAGGAGGGCGGAGGGGAGGGCAAGGGGCCTTTTGCTCCCAGGGGCTCAGGTTGCAGTTGTTTTACTGTACAAAAGTCTGTTCGGTACTCCCTGTCGTCCTCCTCTCTCCTCCAGAAGACCCTCCGCCTAGGAGATGGAGTGAAAGTGATCGGACTTCAGTTGCTGGCTTCGGAATATCTGTGTTTGTCGCAGTAAGCGAGAAAATAGAGGGGATTCGTTATTATGCGTTTTGTGCTGTGTAACAGCAGTACAAAACGCATATTGTTACGGGGTTGTCTGTGTGTGTGTGTTTGTGTC